AAAAAAAAAAATAAATAAAATTGCCCAATTAATTATGAGAAATAAAAATGAAAAGCCCAATTGTCCAATTTTTTTTTTTTTTTAACGGATAATCGGTTCGGTTCGGTGCACCATAGTTGAATACCATACCTGTCCCTAAATGAAGCGGTTCATTAAAATCAAAACCATAACCGCCCCATTGCACCATCGGTTTGGTTTTTTTTGCCCCATTCGGTTCGGTGAACCGCGGTTTTCGATTTTCACAGTTCGAATTACCATCCCTAGTCATATGCCAATTTAGAATGACGGTTGTGAATCGATGATAAATTAAAAGGGAGTATTTTAATTTATCGATATTGATTATATCAAAATAATAATTTACCTCTTTAGATATCGTGATCGGAAACCTAATGAGTCATACACAAAAGGAGAATTGGAAAAACAAGATTCGCCAATTAATTAACAAGTGTTGGATAATTAATTAATTTGGTTACTTGTTAACGTGCCTGAATTAATTAATTTGATTAATTAATTCATGGATCAAATTTAATTAATTGAATTAATTAAATATTAGATCGAATTAAGTTTAAGAGACGGACCGAACCCACTTAAACTTATATTAATAAACTATTAGGGTTTCAGAAAAAATTGAATATAATAAAATTCATTATCTTGCCAGCACAAAAAAAGAGAAATTTAATTCTCTCATTCTTGTTTCCTATGTGAATTTTCATTGGAGGCTAGACAATTGTACAGCTATGAATTGTAGATCGTTCTTGTTTGTGTTCGATGATCAGTAAAAGAGTTTGCAGAATTCACAAAATGTATAATTCCCATTACAATTTTTATCTAAACACAAAGTAAATTCTTTGTGGAAATTAAAATTATTTTATTTTTCGAAATGAATATTTAAGTAAATCCCCAACATTCAACACTTGGGCCTTAAAAAGTTGCCAAGGAATCATATTTTTTCTATTCCAAGAAGTTGCCTAAGTATAGCAATCTAGTTTCATTATTCGGAAGCCATATCCTTGACGGATACTAGTTTTTGTAGAAAAGACGTTTAGCCTTAAGATTGCAAGATCACAATCCAAAAATAGATTGCGTTTTGTACATTAACCTGACTTTTTTTCATATATTACGTACATGACAAATATGCGATTTATATCATTTCAAATATTCATAAAAAAAACTAACTGTAATGTTCTCAAATACAACTTGAATATGAACTGTTCTGAGTAAATTCCTTGCTGCCACAGGTACTGTGCTCTCGATAAACAGATTAGTACTGTGCCCCAATTAGAATTTACTGTTTATGGATATACTACGTTAAGAAAACGTACTAAAATATACGAAGGATCTTTCTATTGATTCAAGAAATGAACCCATCTGATTGTACTTCAAAAGCTCTGGAAATTCCGTGAATCACAAACTTCTTGGACGAAAGGATATCCGGCAAAGTGATTTCCACTCCGTTAACAGAAAGAACGTGCGAAAGTTTATTTGTACTAATCTGTAGATGTTCACCGGGAACCAGATTCCACAGAGAATTATTCTTAGGCAATGAAGTCAAATCCAAGTAAGTAAACCTCTTAGGCAGAATATGACTTCTAACAATTTTGTAAAGCAGTGGCCAAGGGGACGATATGAAGCCTGAATTCGGTGGAGCAAAGATTGTCACAGAACCTAAATCTGGATAATCTTGAAGGATTCCATTGAGAACAGAATGCAATCCAATTGCAAAGGAAACGAACCCATTCGAGCTCAACAATTGGACTATTCGGGCCCATTCGACCATATCCCTCCTTTCATTAAAATTAGAAACTAGTGACTGATTAGAATTGCACCCAGGAGATTGAATGAAATCCCAATTTTGATCTATATCAGAGAAAGGCCGAAGAACACCGTGTACTGAAACGGGCCCTTCAAGAAACATGTCAGGATGAGAAATCAACACACTGTTGATCTCAATTGAACCCGTTTTCGTATCATTCTTCGTCGTGATCATCAAATTCTTGTCATAAACAAGGGTCGTCAAGCAACTTCCGTGGGGCTTCTTCATCAATTCTTGCATTGGCAGCTTCGAGGGGCTGGTGTGGTACTGCAGGAGTTGTTTCATCACCCAAGGCGGGACAGAAACATTAGACATGGCAGAATCTTGGATTGCAAAGATAGTCGATTCTGGCCCAGAGAGGAAGAGTTCGGGGGAGAATTGAAGAAGGGTGGCTATGGCGTTGAAGCCATGGATTCTCAGGGCCCTTGAGGCGTTCAGAGCAAGATCGTGCTTGATGCTGTGGCCCAATTGGAGGGGATTCTTGGGCGCTGAATTCTTCATTGTTGTGATTGCGATGAAGCAAAGAACTATAGACATGGAAAAGTAGAAAGGGGCGTGCCACCAATGTGAACAAGCACAATTCGCCATTGTTATGGAATTCAGTTTCTTGTTTTTTGGTACTGTTTTGAGTTTGTGTTTGATGAAGGAGACCGCCAGAGAAGATGATTGGTATTTGAGAGGGAAAATGAGGCTTGAAACAGCGTATATTTATCACTAAAAAGAAAGTAACAAATAAAACTTGTATAACTTTTATAAGCCAGTCTGATTTATCAAAGATCTAAGCATATTGTGAATTACGGACGAATTAGAAAACGAAATACAATCATATCGATCATTATTTCCTATAAAAGTTGTTGGGTTTTGATACCCAATAATAGGCCCGCTACTACTTTTTGTCAAATCGGATAATTTATCGACACCATAGACTAGCTCGACTCGGAAACGACCTATACTTTTGGATGATCCAAGCTTGGGTTGGATGGTAATAGGTATTAATTAGCCCATTTAGTTGGTGATCTAATTAATGTCTTTGGCCCATTTTGGAGAGGAGTGTTTGGGCCAAGTGAGTAACCTAATTTTGTGCCCTATATATTTCATATTCCAGCCATGTGCAGTGGTGTGTGTGTGGTGAAATAGAGAGAAGAAAAAGAGAGACCAGCAGCCGGCCATTTTAGAGAGAAAAATGAGAGCCTTGCTTGATTATTAATATCTTCTTCCTTCTCTCCCTTTGTGATATTGCATACCACCACCATTGTAGTCTCCTTTGTGGAGTGTAACTTGGAGTAACCAAGTGGAGGAAGTTTTGGGTCGAGCTTGTGTGTGTGGTGTCGATTTTGGTAATTTCTGAGCCCGGAAATGTGGTATATTAGAGCCCCCAAATATCACAAATGGTATCAGAGCTTGGGTGAAGGAAAAATATATGAGTTTGGGGTGAAAAGGTTGCTGGAAATCGAGCAGAAAACCAGGAAAAATTCTGTCCAGTTTTTATGCCTAAATACCGCACCTGTATATGTGTTTTCTGGACAAATCGCTTACCTTTAGGAGAAACGAACACCACTGGCGTGATGTGCAGGCGGAGGAGAAGCAGGGTGGTCGCCGCGTGTAGGTCACTCGCCGGCGCGTGAGACCAAAGCGCCGCTCCGGTGGAGGCGTGTGGAGGCGCGTGTGGTTGGATTTTGGGGAGACTTCTTTAGGCAGTTTTTCCAGGACATCGAGATTGACCCTGCGGTGTTGTCGGATTTCAGTTTCAGGCAATGTGGTGAAAGTTGGACGGTTTTGCCCTTTGGACGCTTGGGTGCAGGGTGTCGTTTTGTGTTGCCACGGTTGCTGGAAACTTTAGGACGAATGGTGACGGTCCTAAAATGGTGAATTCACAGATCTCGATATTTATGGACCTTCAGACGTGGTCTGCTCGGTATCGTGTTCTTTGCCTTTTATTATTGCAGTTAAAATTATTGTGTATGATAATTTATTTTCGCATTAGAAGTCATCGTGTGGGGTGATATTAGGATTGAGATTACCGTGAAGGGGTAATCATTGCCTGTTGCTAGATTTAGGAATTACTTGTTAATTATCTACCTTGAATTCTAAGTGAATTAGTTGTCGATTAAATTTTTTCATTATTAGAATTGCATGTGAACTTAGAAACGTTTACTTGACTATTCTGTGTGAATTGTGTCGGTACTTTACTTGTGGTCGTTGTTTGTTGCATTTTGTATTCTGTGCATTTTTGGGTAAAATGACGACGCATTAGCTATGCATGTTTTTAATGAAAATTGTGGTTTTTTAATTTGGCAAAACGAAAATATTTTTCATAAAACCTTTTGGTGGCAAATGTGGTCTAAGGCAAGTGTGAAAATTAAGATGTGTTTTAACTGCAGTAATTTGGACATGGTTGAAATAGATTGTTCTATGAATGATAATAAAAGGAAAGTTGATGAGAGTGATGGGGCGAATTCTTTCATTGGGTCGAGTGATAACCCGTGTGAGGTTTATTGAGAGTAGACCTAGTTACTGCACGAGCATCTGTGTGTAACTTTTTCTACATGTATGTGATTGCTCAATTCTGTTGCATGATTATATGTGCATTTTTCAATGTATTTGATATGTGCATTGGTATGAATTGGAGTGATTTTATTACTTGGTATAATTGTTTACATGCATAGTGGGTTGAGATCTATGGTGTACTCCGTTTTACTCTATGAGTGGTGTGAGAGAGTGTGGTCGTGAGAAGTTAGAGGGGCAGTCATTTTCTCCTTCATCTTTGTGAACATATGTGGTTTGTGAGATTATGTGAGGCAACCTGTGAGGGTTATCTTCGTTCTCTGTGTGAGCCTCTTTCGTGAGTGCAGTAAAGTAACCAACTCTTTCTTCTATTCTCTTGTTGAGTACTACCTTCACCTTTCCCTTTGTGGGATAAATTCTTTGTGGATTTGTTAGAGTATTGGTATTGGAGTAACCTTATGGTATGTGGGTCAATTTAAATTGAGCCCTAACCTTTGTGGTCGCCGAAAGGTGTTGATTTCCCATAGTCAATTTGGGATGCATTAGCAGTGTGTGTGTGTATGTCTTTTAGTAAGGTGGAGTATAGATGCCTAGATGTACATTGTGGTTTGTACTGTGGGATGTGGAGTGTGACATTTGGATCATGGTGGAGATGTGATCAAATGTTTGGAATCCTTTATCTGGAGGAGACCCTGATCAGGTGGAGTGCAAGAGATGCGCTTCTATCATTTCTATTAGGTGGATACCTATTATCCATTTAGGTTGAAGAAGTGATGTGGTGATAGAGGATTATCCCGAGAACTTAGGATCTATAGAGGTTTTACCAGTTATACATGAGTTGAGTGATTAGTCTAATGAGCATTGTGGGCAATGAGGTGAGATTTGTGTTCTCGAGTAGTGAGCAACACGAAATGGGATATGATAAGTGTGGTGAGATCTTCTTTGTGAGGTCATTTATGTATTTGTTGCGTGTGTGTTGACCTGTTGATTGACTTGGTGTTAATAAGTTGTTCTGTGTGAACATGTTTGAAAAGATCTGTGTTATCCTTTATGATATCTCTGTTGCATGTTTATTTGCTCTTGATTGTTTACTGTGATTATCTGCTTTTACTTGGGTGTTCTCGATCTTAGCACCCATGAGTATATGGATGTATGGTATATGTTTCAGGTTCGAAACACGAGGTAAGGTCTGTGATATCAATTTTATTGGTTACCTTGATTGTGCAAGTATAAATAGTGTGTTTTGGTTGCTTGCAGATTTATCGGAAATTAAGGTGGAGATTTGTTGGGTTTTGATACCCAATAAATCCGGACGATGATGAAAACAGTTGTCGAATAATTTATCGACACCATAGACTAGCTCGACTCGGAAACGACCTATACTTTTAGATGTCCCAAGTTTGGGTTGGATGGTAATAGGTATTAATTAGCCCATTTAGTTGGAGATCTAATTAATGTCTTTGGCCCATTTTGGAGAGAAATGTTTGGGCCAAGTGAGTAACCTAATTTTGAGCCCTATATATTTCATATTCCAGCCATGAGTAGTGGTGTATATGTGTGGTGCAATAGAGAGAAGAAAGAGAGAGACCAGCAGCCGGCCATTTTAGATTATTGATATTTTCTTCCTTCTCTCCCTTTGTGATATTGCATACCACCACCATTGTAGTCTCCTTTGTGGAGTGTAACTTGGAGCAACAAAGTGGAGGAAGTTTTGGGTCGAGCTTGTGCTTGTGGTGTCGATTTTGGTAATTTATGAGCCCGGAAATGTGGTATATTGGAGTCCCAAGATCTTACAAAAGTTAAAGAGGTGGGCTTGTTTGTATGTTTGACTCGTTTAAAAGAGATTTAGAGCATATTTGGCTAAGGTTTTCTACAAATGATTCTAAAGTAAGGTTTGTTACGAAAATTATTAGAAGGGGCATGACCGCTTGATAAGTGTGTTTTATATGCTCTTAAATCTACTTTAATTTTTTAATATTTGAGCTGATATTTCTACTCATATTGTTATTTATATTGTTATTTATCGTTTAAACCCAAAATTTGGAAATGACTGATGCGAAAGGAAGATATTTGGTGCATTTAAACATCAAAAGACGCGAAATGAGGAAACTGCGTGCAAAGTACGTGAGAAAATTAATCTACAAATTTTTGTACAACGATCTCCAAAAGGCAAAGGATATACTATTTAAAAAATAGTTAAATTTAAAGTACAACACAAAAAATCTGCAATTCAAAGTTGGGGATCAAAAGTTATGCGAGTTTTAATCTTAGTGGCTAAACATGCAAAAACAACGAGCTGGGGGACTAAAACTGTATAGAAAACTAAGGAAATAGACTACGTCAGAGCACGTTCAAGTAGTAGGCCACGGTAGTCGAGTTCGGCCAACACAAGGAAAGTTGGGGTCTGTTCTTTTTACCATTTTCAAGTAGTTTTTTGTTTTTAATTTTCCAAAATAGTGAAAACGTGTTCTCTTTCCTATTTTCGAAAACACATTTTTGAAAACAAGTTAAAAAATTTACGTTTTGGGGTGTTTTCAGTTGTAATCATGCCAAGTTTAGAAGTTGTTTATCAAAATTTAAATTTATATGTAAAGGTATTAACTCATC